CTTATTTTCGTACATCACTTTGTATTGCTTTGGAAACGAAAGCTAGAAAGAGATGCTGGTTGCGGCCAGCATGGCAGGGAGGAAGCTGAGGGCAGCGGGCATCGCTGTGGGTGCCTAGTGCCGCCGCAAACTCACGCAGCACAGCCACCCGGAAGTGTCCTGCACAGCCTCGCCCGCTCCCTGTGCCCACTCCGGGTTCCACACAGCCCTGCGGCCCTCTCCAGCCCGCCCCAGTCCCACCAGCGCACAGCTTACCATGGCTTCCTCCTGGCAGCACACGGCGTTCTCACCTCCTCTCTGTCCGAGGCCACGTGCCCAACCGCCTGGCGCGTCCGCGACACACCGCGTCCTGATTGGCTCGTGGCCTGCGCGACTACTACTGGTTCTCACAGCTTTAGGGCTGACCGTGGGTTTAAACCTCAATCTTGATTGGCCACTGGCCTTGACTTCCGAAATGTTCCTTCTGATTGGTTGTCACTTGAGGCCCAAGTGGTGACCTTTGATCTTTTGGGTCCTGTGTTGGCACGGAGAGGTGGCGGGGAGTCTTCCAAGTTGGTGCCTACTTAGACACTGTACAAGAAGTAGCCAAGGGGGCCAAGAAGAAGGTCTGGTTGGGAGGGAGGTGGCCGATTATTGTTACTTATGCCACCTGAGCCCCACCCGTAGAAAAGTCACATCAGGAAACCTAACTACCGGAGAGGTGGAGGTCATGAGTATCGTGGTTCGAGACCTGCCTAGGCAAAAAGTTCATGAAACGAGCCCGGCACAGAGTGCTCATGCCCATAATCCTAGCTCCTCTGGAGGCTGAGGATCTGAGGCTTTGGATTCAAAGCCAGCCTGAGCATAGGAGTCCAAGAGACTTATCTTCAATGGAACAACAGAAGACCCACTCACACCTGTTATCCTAGCTCCTCCGGAGGCTGAGATCTGCGGATTGCGGCTCAAAGCCAGCCTGACAGAAAAGTCTGAGCCTTACCACTTCTGGGCATCAACCCAGAACATCACAAGCCATGATACTGTAAAGCCTCTAGACCAGCACAAAAAAGTCAGAAGTGGAGGTTGTGGCTCACGTGGTAGAACACCAAGCTTGAGCAGAAAGTTAGACCAGAAAGCAAGGTTTTGAGTTCAAGCCCCAGTACCATCATGTACACAAGCACACGCGTTCACAAGCACACGCCACGCGTACACACATACACACCCCACAATTAGTGATTCCAAGGGACTGGAGGAGGGCAGGATGAACAGGTGGGGCACAGAGAGCTCTTTTTTTTTTTGGTCGATCATGGGGCTTGAACTCTGGGCCTGGGCACTGTCCCTGAGCACTTCATCTCAAGGCAAGCGCTCTACCACTTGAGCCACAGCGCCACTTCCAGTTTTCTAGTGGTTAATTGGAGATAAGAGTCTCACGGACTTTTCCTGCCTGGGCTGACTTTGAACCGCGATTCTCAGATCTCAACCTCCTGAGTAGCTAGGTGCGAGCCACCAGCACCCAGCCACAGAAAACTCTTTAAGGCAGGAAACTGTGTGATAATCTAATCCTCTATACCTGACCTTATACACTTGTCAGAACACATAGAACTTTGGTGCAACATGAAGTTCAAACCTAATATAAAGTAGGGACTTTGGATGATAATAATGAATCAGCGTAAATTCATCAGTTGTAACAAATGTGCTGCTCTGATGCTAGATACCAAGAGTGGAAGACATTGTGTATCTGGGGCTTCAAGTCTATGGGAACTCTCTGTACTTTCTGCTCAATATTGCAGTGAATTCACCTTCACTGATAAACTCTATTTTTAAAAAATCATCTGCCATAATGTAAAGGTTTATTTCTTGATTTTGAAGTTTATTTCATTTATTTCTATGTCCACTCATATGTCAACACCACAGTCTTGTTAGAGCTTTGTAGTCAGTGTAGATATCAAGAAGCAGGAATCTCTAATTTTGTTATTTTTCTTGCCATTTTCTTTTCTTTTCTTTCTTTTTTTTTTTTTTTGGTCCAATCCTGGGAATTGAACTCTGGGCCTGGCTGCTGTCCCTGAGCTTTTCTATTCAATAGCACTCTACCACTTGAACCACAGCTCCACTTCCAATTTTCTGGTGTTTAATGGGAGATAAGGGTCTCATAGACTTTCCTGTCTGAACTGGCTTCATGCTGCAATCCTCAGATCTCAGCCTCCTAAGTAGCTAGGACTATAGTTGTGAGCTACTAACACCCAGCTTCCTTGCCTTTTAATATGAATTTTGAAATCAGCTTGATAATTTCTTTAAAATACACAGGATTTGGGGCTGGGAAGGTGGCTCAGTGGTAGAGTGCTTGCCTTGCATGCCTGAGGCCCTGGGCTCGATTCCTCAGCACCACATAAGCAAAAAGAAAAAAGCCGGAAGTGGCACTGTGGCTCAAGTGGTAGAGCGCTAGCCTTGAGCTGAAGAGCTGAGGGACAGCGCCCAGGCCCAGAGTTCAGGCCCCATGACCGTACCCAAAAAATAAAATAAAATACACAGGATTTGTTGTTAGTTGTTTGTTTTGTGCCAGTAGCGGAGCTTGAACTCATGGTCTAGATGTTTTCTCTTAGCTCTATTCTCAGACTGAAGAGTAGCTAGGATTATAGACATAAGCCATTAGCTCCCAGCCAGAATTATTTTCTTATTTTTATTTCAGGATAGTTCATTAGTAGTGTACAGAAACACAATTGATTTTTATACACTGATTTTTTTGTTGTTGTAGTTGGTCGTGGGGCTTGAACTCTGGGCATGGGTGCTGTCCCTCAGCTCTTCAGCTCAAGGCTAGTGCTCTACAACTTGAGCAGCACTACTTCTGATTTTCTGGTGGTTTACTGGAGATAAGTGTCTCACGGACTTTCCTGCCCAGGCTGGCTTTGAACCATGATCCTCAGATCTCAGCCTCCTGAGTAGCTAGGATTACATGTATGAGGCACCGGCACTCAGCTGTACACTGATCTTATATATGACAACTTTGCAGAATTTGTTACTTCTAATGTTACTATATTATATATATATGATGTCATCTGTAATTAGAGCTAGTTTTACTTTTTTTCCTATCAGATTTATTTCTTTTGGTTTGGTTTCTTGGCAATACTGGCTCTTAAACACATGTCCTTATACTTGCTAGGCAAACTTTCTACTACCTGAGCTAAGCCTCCAATCCAGTTTTGTGGGTTTTTCTCTGTGTGTGTGTGTGTGTGCGCGCGTGCACGCACGTGCGCTCCTGCATGTGTACGAGCATAAGAGAGACAATACTGCGGCTTGAATTCAGGTTGGGTAGTGTCTCAGCTTTTTTTGCTAGCACTCTATTATTGAAGCCACAGCTCTGCTTCTGGCTTTTTATTTTTTTCTTGCTGTTTAATTGGAGACAAGAATCTCACAAACTTTTCTGCCTGGGCTGGTTTTGAACTGAGATCCTCAGACCTCAGCCTCCTGAGTGGCTAGGACTACAGGTGTGAGCCAATGGCACCCAGCTGCTTTTTAGTTTCTTTATTCCTTAGAATGGCATAGTTCAACGATTTTCAAGTTAAATCAACTTAGCATTCCTGGGTTCACGATTTGCAGACAGGCATGAGTACTCTGAACTCCAAAGAGCAGGGAATTGCTGTTGGGGTTCTCCAGGACTTGCCAGGTGGTCCTAGACTAAGAGGGGCTGTGTTGACATTTGAGGGGCTTTGAGGGAACACACACACACACACACACACGCACGACTGCAAGCTGTTTCGGGAGGTCAGCTGCGGGTTTCTTTATAAGACATTATCTGTAGCTGGAGGAGGCTCAGCACAGCCTGCCCAAGTTCTGCCATTTCACAGCATTCTCATAAAAGGCTACACTTTCTTGCCAACGTGTGAGGGTGGCTTCCTGCCAGCCCATTGTAGCTGAGGAGTCAGGGCACGGCCAGACCTAGGTCCTCATCGCACTGTGCAAGAAAGTATTTTTCAGACCCTGCACATCGCTGGACGTGGACCTCAGCGTGGCGGGATTGATGTGAGCAAATCACTCATCTGCTTGAGTGGGATGACAGAGACACCGTAGGACCCAAGCGAGCTCTTGATCTGCACCAGGTAAGTTATGCGTAGAGGAGGTTATTTAGCTGTGTGATGGCGGAGGGGGGGCGCAGGCTGGGCCCCCTCTCCCCCCAGGAGATGCGGCGGGGGGGGGGCAGGGGGAGGGACGGGACGCTGTGCGGTGATCCAGCGCCTTGGAGGCGGGGGCGGGCCCTGCGCACAGGCGGCGTTCGTTCTCTGGCTGGTGGGGGCGGGCACTGCGCGCAGAGCTGGCGGTGGCTGCGGTGGCTGGCGACAGCAGGTGGGTCGCGGCAGGGTTAGGCTGAAGCTCAATAGCAAGCAAAGACTGTGGTGTCTGGGGACGAGGGCAGTGCTTCTGGCTACTAGGTAGCTCCCGGCGGCAGCTTGTAGGGGTTTGGGCAAGTGCACGGTGGGTCTCACCTCCAGATCCGGGGCCCCTGCTTGCGGGCCTGGTGAGCTGATATTCCAGCCTGGCAGCAGGGGGTGGGGTTGGAGGTGATCGTTCTTTGAGGCCAAGTGGTGGCTTGGGCCACGCCCCGACTACCGGAGCCGCTCCCGTTCCGGGTACTGGAGGCCCAGCTCCTCCGAAGCCTCCCATTTCCTCTGGCGCTTAGATCCCTGATCCATCATGGATCTGTTCCCAATCTCTCTCACTTGCTGGGACCACCTCTTCATTTTCAGTGTCAGATTAGCCGGCGCCTAGGTCAGGCTCTGCCCTGCCCCCTCCACTGCCCAGGAGGCTGACAGGATCTCCAGCTTCCTTATGACTTCCCATGTCTGTGGTCTCATCCTAGTCTTTAAGTAGACCCTCAAGTGCAGGTGTCCTGCATCCGTTCCCTCCCCACCCCAACCCGGTGGAGTCAAGAGAATGAGCCGAGAGTGGGCAATCCAAGAGAGACACAAGGCTAGCCAGGACCTGACTGGACAACCTGTCATTTCCCTCTGACCCTCCTAGGTCCCAGCACCATGGCCCGGGGACTGTTCAGCACTGCCAGCCTGGCTCGATTCTGCCAGAAGCTGAATCGATTGAAGCCACTGGAGGACTCCAGCATGGAGACATCTCTGCGGCGCTGCCTTTCCACACTGGACCTGACCCTTCTGGGCGTGGGGGGCATGGTAGGCTCCGGTCTCTATGTGCTCACAGGCACTGTAGCCAAGGACATAGCTGGACCTGCTGTGCTCTTGTCTTTTGCCATAGCTGCTGTGGCATCCCTGCTGGCTGCCCTATGCTATGCAGAATTTGGAGCACGTGTGCCCCGCACAGGCTCCGCGTACCTGTTCACCTATGTATCCATGGGTGAAGTGTGGGCCTTCCTCATCGGCTGGAATGTGCTTCTGGAATACCTCATTGGAGGGGCTGCTGTGGCCCGTGCCTGGAGCGGCTATTTGGATGCCATCTTTAGCCACAGCATTCGCAACTTCACTGAATCTCATGTGGGTGTCTGGCAGGTGCCCTTTCTGGCCCAATACCCAGATTTTCTGGCTGCTGGCATCTTACTTGTGGCTTCTGCCTTTGTCTCCTGTGGAGCCCGAGTCTCTTCCTGGCTCAATCACACCTTCTCAGCCATCAGCCTAATTGTCATCCTCTTCATCATCATCTTGGGTTTTGCCCTGGCCTGTCCCCATAATTGGAGCCCTAAGGAAGGTGGCTTTGCACCTTTTGGCTTTTCTGGCATCATGGCAGGCACAGCTACCTGTTTCTATGCCTTTGTGGGTTTTGATGTCATTGCTGCCTCCAGTGAGGAGGCCCAGAACCCACGGCGGGCTGTACCTATGGCTATTGCCATCTCTCTTGGCCTGGCAGCTAGTGCCTATATCCTTGTCTCCACTGTGCTAACACTCATGGTGCCCTGGCACAGCCTGGACCCTGACTCTGCCCTTGCTGATGCCTTCTATAGGCGGGGATACAGCTGGGCTGGCTTCATCGTGGCAGCTGGTTCCATCTGTGGTAAGTGACTCATATGGATAGGGTGGGTGGGAACAGGGCAGTGGGAGCCTGACCCTGAGCTTCTTGGAGAACATACCTCCATTCAGGTCTCAATTTTATCAGCTGTATAATGGGCCCAGGAAAACACTAATTATTAGATCTTTTCCATCCAGGCTGGATAAAGTGCTGTTGTCCACAAATTGTCTGTAATGTTAATTCTAGGCATGCACTTACAAATCCTTTGGGGGCAGTGGCATTCAGCCATCTCTGAACTGGAATGCTATTCCTGGGGGAGGGGGTGACAATCCAGCAACCCCCAAACATTTATACTCACTTTTTGAGAACCTAAACTCATGTCCCTATATCCAAAGAGCCCCCTTATGCCCCTGCCCCTCCAACAGTGGCCCTTGATGAGCTCCTCTGCCATACTGAATGCCCTCTTTCCCTCTGCTGCAGCCATGAATACCGTCCTACTCAGCAACCTTTTCTCGCTGCCACGAATTGTCTATGCCATGGCCGCCGATGGGCTCTTCTTCCAGATATTTGCCCGTGTACATCCCCGGACACAGGTGCCTGTGATGGGGATACTGGTGTTTGGGGTCCTCATGGCTCTCCTCGCACTGCTGTTAGACCTGGAGGCATTGGTCCAGTTCCTGTCCATTGGTACTCTACTGGCCTATACTTTCGTGGCCACCAGCATCATTGTACTACGCTTCCAGAAGGTTTCTCCACCCAGCTCCCCAGGCCTGGCCAGCCCCAGCCCCACAGCTAAGAAGTACGACTCATTTGCTGACCACATACAGCTAGTAGGTTCTGTGCAGACTTCCATCGCTGAGCCTGGGCAGCTGCGACCATCCCTAAGGCCCTACTTGGGCTTCCTGGAGGAATGTAGCCCTGGACCTGCAGTGGCTTGGGCACTTGGCATCCTGGTGGCCTCTGCCATTACCCTAGGCTGTGTGCTGGTCTTTGGGGACTCAGCTCTGCACCTCCCACGGTGGGCCTACATCCTGCTGCTTGTGATCAGTGGTATTGTGTTCCTGCTTAGCCTCCTCATCCTGGGGGCTTACCAGCAACAGCAACAGCAAGACACTTTCCAGGTATTTCCTCCATCTAGCACACACTCACTTGACCCAACTAGCTCTTTGGCTCTACCAGTTCTGTCATCCCACAGAAAGTAAAGGGATTATGGGGCTGAGGAGGTTAATCTATCCTCTCTTACCCCCATAGTAAGGATCCACAGGTCTCTAGACTCTCCAGAGACAGGGGTAGAATGTGTGTGAAATCAGGCGCTGGGCCAACAGATCCTGCAGCCCAGCTTTCTTTACTCTTATGCCTTCAGATACCCTTGGTGCCCTTGACTCCAGCCCTGAGCATCCTCCTCAATATCTGCCTCATGCTCAAGCTAAGCTACCTAACCTGGCTGCGTTTTGCCATCTGGCTGCTGATTGGTGAGTGGGGCCAAGCTGAGGCACACTCCCCCAAGTACTGCAGTGGTGTGGGAGGAGGGGGGACAAGACAGGGCTGGGATCTGGCTCTCAGGCTCATTCCATATCCTCTACAGGACTCGCTGTATATTTTGGCTACGGTATCCGGCACAGCAAGGAGAACCAACGGGAACCACCCGAGCTGGCCACTGCACACTATGTGGTATTCCCCAATGGTGGCCTGGAAGAGACTGTGGAGACAGTGCAGCCTGCTAGCCAGGAGCCAGCCCAGGAGCCTGGCTGTGCAGAGTAGCTTGGCCTGTCTGCGAGACTATTGAAATTTCCCTGCATTCCTCACTTCCTTGAGAGACAAGAAGAGTTGGGGCTGCACGTGTCATGGACAACTTGGGTTTGCAGGCCTGCTCAGGATGGGGGTTGAGTGTTCTCAGGACCACCTGACTTAGGTGCCAAGCTGCTGTCTTGTGAGTGTGTGTGTGTGTGTGTGTGTGTGTGTGTGTGTGTGCACGTGCACACAGGTACTGGGGCTTGAACTCAGCCTCTGGGCACTCTACCACTTGAGCACATCTTTGCTTCTGGCTTTCAAGTGATTAATTGGAGATAAAAGTCTCATGGACTTTCCTGACTGAGCTGGCTTTGAACCAGGATTCTCAGACCTCAGCCTCCTGAGTAGCTAGGATTACAGGTGTGAGTCACCAGTGCCTAGAAAGCTGCTGGTCTTTTAGAGATAGGCCTTGGCTAGTGCTGGTGTGGTGGTCTCTTTGTCCAGTGCCTTCCTGTTTATTAGCAATTCTGGCTACCTGGACAGGTGAGGGAAGACTAGGCAGGAAAAAGCCCCAGGGACCCATAATAATAACTATTCTACTGGCCATATGGCCAGCCATGATGTACTGTGGCATTCTTTAGGCACTGAGTTCTTATTTGTCCCTCTCTGCCCTCAAACCAAGCAGTAGTTACTGATTCACAGCAAAGATAATGAGGCTCTGAAAATTATCACTGGACAGTTACACAGCTAGATTTGGGACCAAAATCATTCTCATGCTGGATTCTCTGCCCAGTTCAGCAGGGAGTTGCTCATCCCTAGATGAGGAAGGAGCCATAACAAGGGTGTGGTGAGCTTCCCATGTCTAGGGGTAGATTTAAGGAGTAATGGCTGGCCCTGAAGGTCAGTCAGAAAAAGCAGTGAGATTCAAGGGACCTTTTGATTTTTTTTAGGGCTCCCAGAGGTCAGAGCATGGGCTCTAGGGTCACTTAGGGCACACCTGGACACAGGCACATTTCCACAAGACCCTTCTCCTCCAGGTGCATACCTTCGTGGCCCAAATGGCTACTCCAAGGTAATGAAGTGACAATTATTTGCAAGCTCAGACCCAGCCACAGCTTGCTTTTGCTAACTCTCTCTTTATCCACCTTGCCAGGGCTTTCAGATAAAGCCTTTGGGTCTCTGCTGCTACTTAGTGCCCAAGGCAGAAGTGCCCACGAAGATCTGGGCTCCACTGGGGCACAGATGAAAGCTGCACATGAATGTGCATGTGTGGCAGTGCTTGGGGTATCCCTGCTACCTTTCAGCCTGAGTACAAAGGAGTTTCCAGGAACACCATAGCCCATGTTATATACATAATGCCACTGGGGTCCCTATGGGTGAGCTATGTCCACTATAGCCACCTCCTCCTTCCCTTCCCTCCCTGGAAAGACAGGAAGCTGTTGGCTTTGTCAAGCTTTACTTCAGTAGTGACATCAGCTTTCTCTAGATCCTGGGAACAACCAGGTACATGTGGCCTGCCTCCAATCTCCAGCCCTTGGGATCCATACCCTCCCACTTTAGTACTCTAGAGCCCTCCTCTTCCATAAAAACCATTTGAGCAACCCTGAGCGGGCTGGGAAGGTGGCTCAGTGGTAGAGTGCTTGCCTAGCATGCATGAAGCTCTGGGTTTGATTCCTCAGTACACAGAAAAAGCCAGAAGCAGCACTGTGGCTCAAGTGGTAGAGTGCTATCTTTGAGCAAAAGAAGCTCAGGGACAGTGCCCAGGCCCTGAGTTCAAGCCCCAAGACTGGCAAAAAACAAACAAAAAATACTGCTCTGGATACTGAGAGGTAGCAGAGGTGCTGAAGCTTTGGGTGCCAGGTGATTCCAGATGTTAATGCAGCTTCGGCTCCAGCACAATTCTGATGAGAAAACAGTAATTTACTGAGATGGGAGTGTTTTCAAAACCCTGCGCCCCCCCCTTGGGACCAAGAGAGGGTTGGCCTCCTGTAACCCTATCCTTTCCTCCTGATCATGGCCCTGGGATATGAAAACAATTCCCATCAGGCAGAATTTGGGCTCCTGTTGAAGAGTTGCAGAGCCAGAACTTGGCCAGACTTTATTAGGGCATTTCTTGCAGCCTCTGTACTCTACCTGGGGTCAGAGTTATAGCCTTTTGCATGTGGGGGCCTCTTGGCAGGGTGGGCAGCTGCATATGACCTAAATGACAATAGTCAGGAAAGAGGCTTTGCCCCAGTGATCCATAATAGCAACCTGTCACTCTGGCCACATTGCCAGCTACCATGTACTGTAGTGTTCTTTTGGCACTGAGCTCTTGCCTGTCCCTTTCTCTCTCCCACCAAAGATGTTGAGGCCCTTCCAAGATAGCTCTGACACAGGGGCACAGCCAGACTTGGGTCCAGAAGGCCTCCTTAAGCTGGGTATTCTGCCTGGCTCAGAGGGGGAACTGCATATTCTAAATGTACACCCTCCTTTTACAAAGGACCACAATAAACCAGTGATCAGGATGTAGGGGGGCGGCTGAGGGCCTCAGGAGATATACAGAAGATCCCAAAGGACCAAATGACGACAAACTCAGCACTATTACCCTCTCCTTGTCACAGCCCTCTGTAGTGGCAGGTGTTTACAGGCAGGACAGATGTGGGCCCTCTACCCTTGACACCTTGTGTGTACTCTGGTCTCTACCTCTATGGCTTAAGTCTCACCACCCCACTCATATCTTTAAATAAAATTGGCTTCTGTGTCCTCCCAGGTGGCACCCTGCCAAGGGTGGACCTAGTCTTCTTGGGAGTTCAAAGGAGGAATCCAGCCCCATCTCCAATTTTACTGGGCTTTCTCTGTGAACCAGCCCCTAGTCCTCAACCCCTAACAAGCGGAGAACAGCAACAGGCCTTGGGAATAGACAGGCAAGTGGTTCTGAGGCCACTCTCACATTGGTTTCAGGATGCCAACAGTAGCAGATGTAGGGGGGGCAAATGCTGGCACCATCTAAGGCAGCTGGGCATCGGGGCTTGTGGGTGGGAAAGCTGGCTTCTTCTGTGCAGGAATGCCATTTGCTTTAGGCGCTTTTGCCTATGGACAAAAAATAGCTGATCAGGGGTCTGGTTAACATCCCCCAAAATGTGACAGAACCCAGTGTCCAGACAGAGTGACCTCAGTTCTAGGACCAACACAGGTCTGCAACTCACTTCCTCATACTTCGTCCTCCAGTAGAAATGGGCTTCTCTATCCACATATAGCAAGAGCAGGTCACAGAGGAAGGTGACCTGGGAAAAGTAGGGCCCATCACATCCCAGCTTCCAAAGCTGCCTTCCCACCACCCTCTTAGCTGCAACATGCAGGCACTCACTTGCAGCCAGGGCAAACCCACAATGATTAGACTCACCACACCCAGCAAGGCTGCTCCCGTACCCACTGTGATGGCTGTGGGGATCAGCCCAAACTTCCCTGCCTAAGAGAGGCTTAGGTTGAGTCTTTTAGACCATGACTGCCCTCCCAAGCTTCTTCCAGGCCCATCTGTCTGAATTTCAAACCCTTACCTGACCAGTGACAAGGATGTCAAAGCGGATTCCATAGAGCTTGAGCAGACTCCGGGTCTCCACACCTGAGGCCTCCCACCAGTGATTGGATGTCCTTGGGTGGGGAAAGAGGGCTTTGGTGTCCATGCTGCCTTATTTCCAGGCTAGATGGGTTTTATTGGGCCTCAGTCTTACTTATAGGTTGACTCTCAGCCCAAGCCTGAGTCCTGGGTCTTGGCCCTAGGTAGGTGCTAAAGACAGGCCAGATATATGGCAGAGTTCCCTGCCTATGAAGGAGACCAAAAGACAGTAGGAGTTGGGAGGAATGGGAGGAGAAAAGCAGAGTATGGTTGGGCAGGCTGAGAACTGTCAGAACCTTGAGGCAGGAATTCATTTTTCCCAGAACTGGGGAAGAAGATTCACCTAAGGTGGCTTCCCAGAGCCCAGGAAGAAGGCCTGGGTAGAGAAAAGTAGGGCTGGCAAATCCACAGTAGGTGGAGAGGAAACAGAAAGCCAGAAGGGCTGGGGAGGTCGGGAAAGCCAGGCCAGACGGAACATGGTGAGTTGCATTAAGTGTATGTGTGGGGGTGGTGTACACATGTTTTCCTGTGTGGTGTCAAAGTGACAGAAGTAGCAGAAAGATCTCAATGGGTTTTACTTAAGTGATTGAAAGACATAATAATAAATGCAACTTAAGATCCTTGAGTGTGACAGGCACTGCTGGCTCATGCCTATAATCCTAACTACTCAGGAGGCTGAGATCTGAGCATTACAAAGCCAGGCTGAGAAGAAAAGTCTACGAGCCTCCTATCTCCAATTAACTACCAAAAAAGCTGGAAGTGGAGCTGTGGTTCAAGTGGTAGAGCACCAGCCTTGAGTAGCAAAGCTAAGGGACTGTATCTAGGATGTGAGTTCAAGCTCAGAATCAGTACACACACACACACACACACACACACACACACACACACACACACACACACAAGCCTTGAGTGCATCTTCAACTAGAAAGCACAAAAATTTAGAACCATTATTGGCACTGCTGTAGAAATATAAATATTAGATTTAATTGGCCAATGTCCAGTTTCTTGGGTGTAACGGTTGGTTGGCAGTCACATGGAAGGTCCTTGTTCTCAGTATTGGGAAGGGTGAGTGTCCAGTATCTGCCACTTATTTTAAAATAATTTTTCTTGCTTTTTTTTCTTCTGTCCTACTACTGGGGCTTGAATTCAGTGTCTCACACTGTTGCTCAAGGGTAGCACTTTCACTTGAACCACAGTTTTACTTCTGGCTTTTTGCTAGTTGATTGAAGATAAGCATTTCATGGACTTTTCTGCCCAGGCTGGCTTCAAACCATAATCCTCAGATCTCAGCCTCCTGAGTAGCTAAGATTACAGGCCTGAAACACTGCTACTCAGCTTTTGTTTTTCTTTTCCATGCTAGGGTATGAACTCAGGGCCTTATGCCTACTCTGCTTGTTTAGCTGGCATTTTACCACTTGAGTCCTGCTTCCATTCCAGCTCAGTTTCCCCATCCCCCAAAACAACTGTCATTTGGCTTTTTAATTAAAGTTAACATTCTACCACTTGAGCCACACAGCATTTTTTGATAGCTAATTGGAAATGGAGTCTCATGGACTTTTCTACCCTGGTTGCTTCAAACTCTGATTGTCAAGAATCAGGTAGATGAGTAGCTAGCATTACTAGCATGAGACATCAACACCAAGCTACTTGCAAATGCTTCTGTTTTGTTTTGCTTTGCTTTGCTTTGTTTCATGTTCTGCAAGGCTTAGGATCAAACACAAGGCCTTACATACCCTAGGCAAGCACTTTACCATATCTCAAAGGAGTTCTGTTTGAAATCTATCAAAATAACTAGTTTTTTTTTTTAAGACACGGAAGTGGCGCTGTGGCTCAAGTGGTAGAGCGCTAGCCTTGAGCTGAAGAGCTGAGGGACAGCGCCCAGGCCCAGAGTTCAGGCCCCATGACTGGACCAAAAAAAAAAAAAAAAAGACAGGGAAGAAAAAAATGCAAATGTGGCCAAATGTTAAAAATAAAACTAGTGACTACAAATGAATGGTATATGAATATGCATGACACTAACCTTTGAACTTACTACAGATGTTTTGGGGAAAAAGTTTAGATCAAACCATTAGGAGAAAATAAAAAACAAAATGTCCCATTGCTATACAAGGGAGCTGTTAGGAGCAGGGTTGGGTGGAAGAGGAGCCTTGCCAGGGTCTGGAAGCAGAGAGATTGTACTGACAGGATGTATAGCCAGATGGAGCCTGGGATGGAAAATAAGGGCTGTGAACACCCACTTCTGCCCCCTGGAAACTCTCTTAGGCATAGTGGACCTAGTTACAGTCTGTCCTGGAAGCCAGAGGGAAATGGGTAGGGGGAGACTTGACCCAGGAACAGCCAGCAGGCACTGGGAGCCATACCTGAAGTTGTAGCCTCTCTCTTGCAGCTGGAAAGAGTAGCGAGGCCAGCAGTCGGTGCCTCCGATGTCCAGGTTACAATCCCAGTGGACTGTGATGCCTACAGCGCCACCCTGCACACAGCATATATCTGCTCCCACTGGTGGGTGGGCCTGAGGTCCTCTCCCTGAGCCCTTCCACATCCCAAACATTGAGGACCCACCAACAATGCCAAGTCATCGAAGTTGGCTCCAGCTGCAGCCACAAGGTCCCCAATGCGGAACACAGGGCAGTAGGGGCTGGAGTGTGGATCGTAGCGACAGTGCTTGAAATAGGTGGTGTCCCAGGTGTCTAATGCATTGGTCCTGGGAAGGGGCAGGGCTGGGGAATTAGATCAGCTAGGGAACATAGAGGGTCTGGGGTCAGCCAGAGCCTGCCCATGCTTACTTGGAAAAGTTGAACTTGCTGAAGGTGACAGTATTTTTGATGAACAGCGTAAAGTTCTTGGCCTGGATCAGAAGAGGCTTCCTGTAGGTAGAGGGTATATTAGCAAGATTTTAACCACCCTGGAGTCCTTCCCTGGGAATCGGGAGACTTACATGGGCACAGCTCTGCTCTCCACTGGGCACCAACTCCAGATCTCACACGTACTATGGGTCTCATTGAATACCACACACTGACCTGTTTTTATGCCTTAAAAAAAGAACACAGGGGGCTGGGAATGTGGCCTAGTAGTAGAGTGCTTGCTCAGCATGCATGAAGTCCTGGGTTTGATTCCTCAGTACCACATAAACAGAAAAAAAAAAGTCAAAAGTGGCACTGTGGCTCAAGTGGTGGAGTGCTAGCCTTGAGCAAAAAGAAGCTCAGGGACGGTACCCAGGCCCTGAGCTCAAGCCCAAAGACTGGCAAACACACACACACACACACACACACACACACACACACACACACTGAACTCTAAGCCCTCAAGGACATGAAAGAGAAGCTGTTGGCAGAACAGGCAATGCCAGACAGGTGCAATAAAGCCTACCTTCAGGACCACCCAGGATTTCCTCCTCACTCCTTTCCCCAGGGGAGGTGCTGGAAGACAGAGCTCACACACTTACCATGGCTGTGCGTCCCCATCTCCCCTTCAGGGCAGTCCTCTTGGGCCCAGCAGTTAGCCAGTGGGACAGAGGGGTGCTGGGGTGGATGAGAGATCCTTAGTTACCAATAACTCAGGAAGAGATTCCTCTCCTCTGTGACTCAGCTCCATAGACCACAAGGACACACCTCTCCCCTACAGATTTTCCAGGATACGCTGGAGTTGGAGGCCAATGGGCAAACACACATTGGAAGGTTCAAATAAACAGAGACTGGGGGACAAGATGGAGGAGTGGACAACCAGCTGCCTTCTGATCAGATAAGGAAATAAGGACGAAGTGATGTAGCTTCTCTGGTACAATTTGGACAACAGAACAGAAAGGTGAAGGGACCTTGGCAAAGACAAGCTAATGATATTCGGCGTTCTAGGGTGGAGGCGAGAGGGTACAGCCAATAAAGAGCAGAACCTGAAGTCACAGGGAAGTAAGACCTACCATATTTGCTGGGGCCCCATAGACTAGTCCCTTCCCTGCTTGTTCACATTCATTGCCTTCACAGGGTCAGAGTTATGGCGATCGTCCATAGAGGAAGTGGGTATGCCAGAGAGCAAGGCAGCCTTGAGCTTCAGGAACTCTTATGGGGCCTTAGCTCCAGGGAATGGGAGGCAGAGTGACTGAAGAACTCTGAAAAGCCATAATGCAATGTGGGACTTTTGTGGGGAATGGACTTATGACCTTTGGACAGAGGACAAAGTGGAACCAACTACTCTTCTTTGCTGTCCTTACCTATATCTGTGTATACCCCTTCTCTGTACCATAAATGCCACATCTCTTTCAAATCATTGTGTCTCTAACAGGACTCTACTCAGTAGTCTCAGTGGCCCAACCAAAACATAAGAGATTAAGTTCCATCCCATTGCACCCATCCTGGCTCCCTTTTCCTTCCATTTTTCCTTCAAGCTCAGATCCTTAGCCCCTGAGATATTGAAATAACCTCTTCCACTCCAGTCCACATCTGCCCTTACCCCAAGAATCAGCAGATCAGCCTAGATAGAGGTTCTTCATCTTATCCAACCAGGACCCATGCCCAGGCCTCCCTCTCTGTCTTAACATTCTGTTCCAGCCAAATCTACCCTGCTCTTTGGGAGCTTATGCCTATAATCCTAGCTACTCAGAAAGTTAAGATCTGAGGATCATGCTCTGAGGCCAGCCCAAGCAGGAAAGTTTGTGAGACTGTTATCTCCAATAAACTATTCAGAAAAAAAAAAACAGAAGTGGCACTGTGGCTCAAGTGGTAGAGCGCTGGCCTTGAGCAAAAGAAGCTCAGGGATACTGCCTAGGCTCTGAGTTGAAGCCCTGGAACTGGCAAAAAAATAAAATTAAAATTAATTTAAAAAAAAGAAGCTCAGGGGTCTGGGAATGTGGCTTAGTGGCAGAATGCTTGCCTAGCATGCATGAAGCCCTGGGTTCGATTCCTCAGTACCACATAGACAGAAAAGACCAGAAATGGTGCTGTGGCTTAAGTGGTAGAGTGCTAGCCTTTAGCAAAAGAAGCTCAGGGACAGTGCCCAGGCACTGAGTTCAAGCCTCATGACCAACTCTCACCCCCTACCACCACCACCACACAAAAAAAGTTGAACCTCACATTCCAGGCTTTTGCAACATACTATAAGTTGGCATTAATAAACCCTGGACCTCTGGTTTTTACTTGAAGAAATTTAAGTCCTTGAACAAAGCCAAACAAGTCCTAAATACCATCAAGCTTCCTTATAAAACTTGACATAAGCCGGGTACCAGTGGCTCATGCTTGTAATCCTAGCTACTCAGGAGGCTGAAATCTGAGGATTGTGGTTGGAAGCCAGCCTGAGCAGAAACATCTGTGAGGCTCTTACCTCCAGTTAACCACCAGAAAACCAGAAATGGAGCTGTGGCTCAAAGTAGTAGAGCACTAGCCTTGAGTGAAGAGGCTCAGGGACAGCACCCAGACCTTCAGTTCAAGCCCCATGGCCAATTAATGAAGGGGTAGGGAGGAAGGGAGGGAGAGAGAAAGAAGCAGGTGGCCAGGATACTAAGGAGAGCCAGTTAGCTCTGGTTAGCTTCAGGAAACCAGGTTGTTGGAGCGACGGATCTCATGCAGCATGGCAGTTGCATGAGAAGAGCCAGATTCCTCAAACATGGGCAATGAGGAATCCCACAGGTTCCAGAAAAGTCAAGTTCATGTTCCCAGCAAAATTTCAGAGCAGTCTACAGAGAGAACTAAATGGACATCTTTAAGCATCAGGAAAGGGAGAAGATACAGTGTGGATCATCCAAAGGTAAGCAAATCCTTTGTATAGATGCCTCCTCTCTTCTGGGGTAAGGGTCTGGACATGTGAGATCCCCTACACCCAGAATGGGACCATCCACCAGAGACAAGCATCTTAACAAGCATCCTCCAGCCCAGCAAGTGATCAAATGTTCCACTTGATTAAAAAAAGATGTTACCATAGAGATAGGCATCCACAGTTATATTTTGGGTATCAACCATTTAAATCTATATAGAGAGGTTAACCAGTGGGCTGTTCTCTGACAAATGCTAAATCACTTGGGACAATCCCAGACCTGGGCTCAGGTGGCAGGATGGGGCAGGAATGGTGACATTTCAGGGAGAGAATCTGCATTTCTGGATGAGAAATGGCCAAGAACAAGATTGGCTCATTTGAAGAGTGCCTAGACATCAACATGGTGCTGGTAGCTCATGCTTGTCATCATAGATATTCATGAGGTTGAAATACAAAGATTGCATTTTGAAGCCAATCCAGATAGAAAAAGCCAGTGAGGTTCTTAGTTCCAATTACAGCAAAAAAAAAAAGCCAGATGTGGAGGTTTGGCTTACATGATCAAACGCCAGCCAGCCTTGAACAAAAGAAGCCAAGCAAGAATGCAAAGCCCTGAGTTCAAGCCCCAGTCCTAGCACACATAAGCACACACAAAGTACCCAGAGGTCATAATGATTCCAAACTCATTCCAAGCAGAAGTGCTAGTTTACCCCGCAATATGGTCACTGCCTTGGGACACAATAATAAAGACTGAAAACAGAGAAGGGGATGTGATCTTCCCCTTTGTTGTTTAAGAGGCTATCTGAGCTTGCGCCTGGCTTGGGGCATTAAAAGTACAGAATCAGGAGGGAAGAGCTGGTACTCAGAGATCTCAGTTCTGTCACCCACAGGCGGGGTGGTCTTGAACATGTGCTTCACTTCCTGAACTTCAGTGATTTCTTCCTTGAGACTCAGTAGTTATGAGCCCTAAACAAGATAATTTGCAGAAAGATGAGCCTGGTGCCTAGGACACACTAAGTACACACTGAATAATCTTTAGCCACTTGGGAATCAGAAAGGCAAGGTGGCTGGTGATCCAGGACTGGTGGAGGAAGTGGGGACTTACTCGGAGGTTTTGGATAAACTTACCTCTGGGCATCTGCCTTGAACTTGAGCCGGCGTCACAAGAAGATTGGTCACCAAGAAGAACACATTCTCTCCCTAAGAGGTAAGTCTCAAGGTTGGTCCTGGCTAGGCTACTCCAACTGGAAGAGTCAGAGGCCATAACCTGGTTTAATTTGTTGTTGTTGTTGTCACTGGGATTTGAACTCAAGGCCTTGTGTTTGTTAGACAACAGTCAAGCCACACACCAGTCCTCTGTCTTTCAGTCTCCCACTTTTTCCCAAGTAGACTTTGAGCCAAGATTTTCCTACCTCTGCTTCCCAAGTAGCTGGCATTACAGATATACATGACCACACTCAGCTTGCTGTTTGTTTCTTTTGTGGCTAGTGTTCTATCACCCAAACCCAGGAGCCTGATTTTGTGTGTGTGTGTGTGTGTGTGTGTGTGTGTGAATGAACTCACAAGCTATTACTGGGGTTTGAATTTGGGGCCTATGTGTTGTACTTTAGCTTTTTCCACTCAAGGCTACCATGCTACCATTTGAGCCCCAGCTCCACTGGTGGCTTTTTGGTGGTTAATTGGAGATAAGAGTCTCATAGACTTTCCTGCATGGCAGCAGCTTGGTTTTTGAGGGGAAAGTTCTTCACCTCACCTAGTCACCAACTTCATCCCCTAGAAGATACCTCCAGTGAGACAGGAGGAAGCAACTATTGGAGGCTGGCTGAGTTTCTGGCTGCATCTGAGCCCAGGAAGCCTTAGTCAGTCAGTCTGTCTGTCTGTCTGATTCTCTGTCTCTGTCTCTGTCGCCGTGTCTCTGGATTTCAACACATTTGCTCAGCTGGTGTTCTACCACATGAACTATGCCTCCAGTTGACTTTTTGCTGGTTATTTTTGAGATGGAGTCTCATGGACTTTTCTGCTCAGGCTGGCTTTGAACTGCAGTCCTTTGAATCTCAACTTTCTGAATAGCTAGGATTATATTATTTTGATATACTATATATTATATTAGGAGCCACTGGTGCTCAAAATATCTCTTTGATACAAGTTATTTCTCATATTTATTTGCATTCCCTCAACCCTCCTAGGCACTGTAGATAGAGGGGGGTTGAAGGCTGTATGTGATTGGCCTCATGTCCCTGGTAGTGGCCTCAGGAACCTACCTGTGGTGGCTTCACAAAGTCAGCTACATCCCAAAGCCGGTTCTCCAGCTCTTTGATCTGTGTCACAGAAACCCCTTTGAGTTTGGTGATGACAGAAACATGGGGGTCCAAGTCTCGCTCCTGGTAGCCTTTCTTCACAATGAGGGCCCACCTGGGGAGGTGAGGGACAATGTGCTATCACCATGGCATGAGATGGACAGTGGAGAGGCTGGGTCCTATACACTTGGCTCCTTCGCCACCCACCCTATAGGCTATCCCCTCAGCATCTAGGGTCCTTGCCTCCTCTCTGCCCTCACCAATCATTCCAGAATCCCTGAACAGGCTAGAAATCCCAACCAGTCAGAGAGCCCAGAGCCATCATATGTAGACTGCTTTTACTACAACCACTTTTACCATCCAATGTCCCCACCTCTATCCCCACTATCACTACTTACACTCAGTTCACTCCTTTTTTTTTCCTGATATTGGAGCTCGGATTCAAGGACTGGGCATGTCCTTTAGAATTTAACTCAAAGTTAGTGCTTTACCACTTTAGCCACAGCTCCACTTCTGGCTTTCTGGTGGTTAATTGTATAAGAGTTTTACCGACTTTCCTGCCCCAGCTGGCTTTGAACAGAAATCCTCAGATCTCAGGTTCCTGAATAGCTAGGATTATAGACAGGAGCCACTGGCACCTTGTGAGCTACCCCCGCACCAGTCCTAGGGCTTGAACTCAGGATCTAGGTGCTATCCTTGAACTTCTTTTGCTCAAGGCTATCACTCTTATCACTTGAGCCACAGCTTTACTACTTGGAGCTTTTTTGGTAATTTTTGGAAATTAGAGTCTCATGGACTTTCCTGCCTGGGCTGGCTTTGAACTGCAATTCTCAGATCTCAGCTTCCTGAGTAGCTAGGATTATAAGCATGAGCCACCAGTGCCTGGTGCTTTTACTTCAAACTAGAGCTAATGGTCTTTTTGGGGGCCGTCAGTGCTCTAGCTCTCATGAATGTCAGTAATACCACCATCAGTGTCTGGACAGGAATGGGGATGCAACCCAACATGGGACTGGGGACAAAGCCCTGAAAAGGAGCCAGGTAGACACACATCTTGTTCTGATGATATCTGAATAGACAAAGATTACTCCTTCTGCCTACCCTGCCACTTCCCTCCCCCCATCCCCCTGACACCCCCCACAAGCATCATGGTTTTTTAAACTCCCAACCCTCAGCCCCACAAAAACCAACCATGATCCCTCCAGGCAGCCTGTCGAAGATTTCCCTCTTACCCCACCACATAGGCCACCACTCCGAGTTGCAGCAGTCTCTGTAAGATGCCCACCTTCCAGTTCCTGGTCATGACATACTTCTCTGTCTTATAATCTAGGAGCCCCCGGGCTGCTGCTGCCCCTAGGAAGCCCATGTTCCCAGCTCCTGCTGTCAGCTACCTATGAGTCAGCATAGCAGCTGCAGCCACTACAGAGCTGGAGGCACAGCAGGCGCCCAACCAGGCCAGGCCACACAGTTGTTAAAGGGACACCTCCTGGGCAGAATCCAGTTCTGGGCTCCGTCCCAAGTCCTATCTACCCTGGGCCTCTCGTTCTCTCCAGAGTCCTTCTGATGGAAGAACATACCCCTGCTTTCTGATTCCACTTCCTTATAGGGTAGGAAATGACAGATGTAAGTGCTGTGAAAGGTCTTTATGTGGCAGCAGAATCCTAAGGAAAGTTTCAGGAAGAGATGGCCATTGAGCTAATGCTTGCAGCTCTTACGTTTTTTCTGGAGAAGTGGCTCTGACTCCAGAAAGAAACCTGCACCCATGACAGAGCTACTGGAGTCAGAAAAGAGCCTGTAAAAGCTTTGAGAACACTCCACAAGCTCTGGAGTCAGGAGAACCATAGAAGGTGTGACATTGGCTAAAATGCATTGTAATCATAATCCGACTTGTGGAATTGAAACAAACCCTTTATACAACTACTTAAAAAAATAAAGCCAGGTGCCAGGAGCTCATGCCTGTAATCCTAGCTATTTAGGAGTCAGACATCTGAGGATTGCAGTTCAAAGCTAGCCTGGGCAGGAAAGTCCATGAGACTCTTATCTCCAATTAACCACCAAAAAGCTGGAAGTGGAGCTGTGGCTCAAGTGGTAGTGCACTAGCCTTGCACAAAAGAGCTCAGAGACATTGCTCAGGTCCTAAATTCAATCCTTAGGAGCTCCACAGAGGCGGTAAATAAATAAAATTTTAAAGAGATGCTGGCACCTCACAAAGCAGCAGGAAAAATGAACGCCCCAAAGGTGCCCACCCCTGTGCATGGCAGTGAGGCTCACATTAATTCACCCTGCTTCATGTTGGTGCAGGCCAGTCGCGGTTTCTATGGCGACCAGCAACACGAGGTTGCCATGAAACCGCTGCGGCGGGGGGGGGGGGGGGGGGGGGGGTAGGTAGGGAAAAGCTGCCACTGGTTGCGATGAACGCCTGTTGTCTATGTGCCGCATTCCATTGGTCAGTGAGGCAGCAGGGCCCGCCCACATTCCGGGGCAGCCTTCCAAGTGTGAGCACTGCTAGGTACAACTGAGAAGTGGGCTTAAGGATGAAAGATCCCTTCGAGGGAGCTGATGAGGATGAAGAACTGGAGGAAGGAGCGATGGCAGTCGCTGGAGCTTTTGCAGAGCTCCAAGAGGCTGAGGACAGTTTGAACGCAGATTTGGACTCGGACCAGGAAACGGAAGGTGCCCCTGGGGCAGGAGGAGCCAGGCTTGATTCTCACCTTGAGGGTTTTTCCAGCATGGGTGGACTGGCTGGGCTGAACGGGGTGTCCTCAGGTAGTTAGTGGTGCTTCGTGCCCTCTGAGCTCTTCTGGGGACAGTCCGAGGGCCACCATTAGCTAGGCGTCCGTGGTTCACCCTTGTAACCCTAGCTCCTCTGGAGGCTGAAATCTGAGGATCCAGATTCGAAGCCAGTCTGTGTAGGGAAGCCCATAAAACTCTTTATGTCCAAGTAACCACCAAAAATTGGGAAATGGAACATTTTAGTGATAGAGCACTAGCCTTGAGAATAAAAGCTAAGCGACAACGCCTACATCCTGAGTTCAAGACCAATATTGGGGGAGGGGCGAGGGAGAGTTCCACCATCAAGAATTCACTTCCCAGTAGCACCACTAATAATAATAATGATAATAATACCCTTGCTTCCAGAACAATATTTAAATGCCAGACCCTGCCAAACATTCTGAAATAGGTTCAAGGCTGAAAAAACAGAATCTATAGGAAAAACTAAGCTAATGGATCCATAGGGTTTAGAATTGTTTCAGTCCCCCCCCCACACACATACAATGTTCATAAAACACTGTGTGTATGGGGGGTACATTATGCACTTTAACATTGAACAGTGCCCTAATTCTGGGAGAGAGTTTGCTTTCTCTGTAATATGAAAGCAATAGTCCTATATGCACAGGAAGAAACAGTCCATACGTGTGATGTCCCCTGTCTCTTACTAGGCATCCATGGGCACAGAGAGCTAGCCAAGGATCCTCTCTGCCTGAGGTCTTGCCAGACCCATAGCATTATGCCTGTCTCCTGCTTTTTTCGACAACGGATTGCTGGGGAATTGAACCTTCGGCATCGTGGTCTAGGGCCTCAGGTACCTATGGAGGGGCACTGGAGCAAAGCTTAAAGAAGAAGGACCAGGGAGACAGTGGCCTTGACTCTTCTTGAGGCCATTGCACATATTCAGCTGTCTTCTGTGTCAAGTATGGGACACAGGACAGAGATTGTGACTGATATCAGTATAAGGGGTGGGGAGGCTGAGGGTTCCTACCTGCTTAAATTTAGGTCAGACAGGACTCCTCCAGGAGGCAAGATCTGGGTGGAGCCAAGAGGGAGAAACAGGTGTTCCCAGGGAAGGGAAGCCTTTCCAGTTAGAAAGCATGGAGTCTAGCCAGGCACCAGTGGCTCACACCTGTAATCCAAGCTACTCAGGAAGCTGAGATCTGAGGATCGTAGTTCAAAGCCAGCCCGGGCAGGAAAGCCTGTGAGACTCTTATCTCCAATAAACCACCAGAAAACCAGAAGTGGCACTGTGGCTCAAGTGGTAGAGCGCTAGCCTTGAGCTGAAGAGCTGAGAGACAGTGTCCAGGCCAGAGTTCAAGCTCCATGACCAACCAAAAAGAAAAAAGAAAAAGAAAGCATGGAGTCTATTGAGTCCTGGGAACATGAGCCAGATAAATGGGTAGCCATGTTTGGAGCCCTCAGCTTTGGACAGGCCCAGCCCTCACACCCCTCTGTTCTGTGCCAGGGGGCCCAGGCTGTAGCTTTCACATTGACCAACAATCCCTCCATTAAGAGGCTGGATCTTCGGGACAATGGTCTCTGTGGGACTGGTGCAGAGGTCCTGGCAGCTGTCCTGAGAAAAAGTAGCAGTATCTGTGGTAGGTACTGAGCCTGGGAGGAAAAGACCTTTTCCTGGAGGAAAAGACCTTTATACTTGGGCCCTGCTGGGGGTGTGTGGCTGGGGTGGGGAGGACTGTCTTCACAGGTTGAGTTAGACCCTCCAGGGGTACAGTCAATGTTGGAGGCCACTCTCTTCCTCTGATATACCACAGCCCACTCACCCCACTTGTCCTCCCCTCACCCCCACACCGGGTAGACTCCCAATGCCTGAGGCAGTGTGAGAGATACAGAAACGGGCGGTGGTGGACAGGGTGCATCCAAAAATCAGCTCTGCCACCTAAGAGAATCAATCTGTGAAATGACCCCAACCATCTTGTAGCCCTAGGAGTTGTACTCTGCAACTGTGATGTGGTCTGCAGATAAGATGAGACAAAACCAAGATAAAGCACATAATTTCTTTCTGAATGGACAGTATGGGCCAATATTGCCAGTCCCTGGCAATGTGGCAGAGAGGGCTTCTGGGTAGGATATGATGTTGCTAGATCCCCTTCAACAGGGGGGTGCCACCCCTCTTCTGCATTGTTCTCCACAGCCATACAGGTAGGTGGTTTTTAACCCCGTGACAAAGAGGCTCGCTGACATTGAGGAATTGGGAGGTCAGAGACCCCAAGAGATCTAGCCAGTAGCAGTAATGGCAGAGATGCCACCATGCTACCTCACGACAGTTCCCCTGCAAAGCCCCTTTCTCTGTCATGATCCTGGGATAGAGGGAATTGGAGGAGAATTATGCCTGACTGAACAGTGGTCTTGGCCCTCCAGATGTGGACCTGTCAGAGAACCAGCTGGGAGTCACAGGGGCCCAGGCCCTCTGTGCTGCCCTTGCAGAGAACCAGACTGTACAAAAGATACAGCTGGCAGGGAATCATCTGGAGGAGCAGGCAGCTCAGCACCTTGCAGCATTCCTGCTGGCCCACACGAGCGTGAAATCCCTGGACCTCAGCTATAACCAGTTGAATGACCTAGCAGGTAATATGTGGTCTGGGCCACTATGGGACATGAAACCTTTTTTTTTTTTTTTAATCAGTCATGGGGCTTGAACTCAGGGCCTAGGCACTGTTCTTGAACTCTTTTTGCTAGCTCCCTCCCACTTTGAGCTTCAGTGCCACTTCTGGTTTTCTGGTGGCTCATTGGAGATAACAGTCTCATAAACTTCTCTGCCCGGGATGGCTTTGAACTGCAATCCTCAGATCTCAGCTTACTGAATAGCTAGGATTACAGATGTGAACCAACAGTGCCTGGCAGGACATGAAACTTTATTGTTGTTCTGTTAGTGGGAGAGAGAGTTGGCAAGGCCACATTCTGCATACGCCAGAGAATATCCACATGCCATTTCTGCTTCCCACACCCACCTTAGCCCACTCTTCTACTCTATTCATCTCAAGAATATCTCCTTGGGGGTTTGGAAGGTGGCCCAGTGGTAGAGTGCTTGCCTTGCATGCATGAGGCACTGGGTTCGATTCCTCAGCACCACATAAGCAGAAAACGCCGGAAGTGATGCTATGGCTCAAGTGGTAGGGTGCTACTCTTGAGCTGAAGAGCTGAGGGACAGTGCCCAGGCCCAGAGTTCAGGCCCCACGACCAACCAAAAAATATATATATATATATCTTCTTTCTCACTGTTATATATGTCCACATTGATTTAATAACTAGAAGAAACACAGCCTCAAACAAAAAGTCCCTGGTTTCAAGAAGGGGCCCATGTGGAATTACAGTGACTCAATCTGAAATCCCAGTTCTTTGGGAGGCAGAGAACTAGAGAGTTGCAATTTGAGGCCAGCTAGGGCAAAAATCACATAATTTCTTACAACAGATACTATTTTAACAAATAAGTCAGGCACAGTGGCATATGCCTATAATCCCAGCTATGTAGGAGACTATAAGCAGTGGGAATGGAAGAGCTATAAGCTAAGGCCTGTCAAGGCAGTGCAGCTCATACATACGTACACAGGAGTTGGCGTGGGACCTGGGAAGGAC